TGGCCAGCAGGTCAAGGGAGGTGATTCTGCCCCTCTACTCTGCTCTGCTCTGGAGTAGTGCGTCCAACTCTGGAGCCCTCAGCACAAGAAGGACATGGACCTGTTGGAGCAGGTCCAGAGGAGGGCTACAAAAATAATCCGAGGGCTGGAGCACCTCTCCTGTGAGGACAGGCTGAGAGCGTTGGGCTTGTTCAGTGTGGAGAAGAGAAGGCTGCGGGGAGACCTGATTGCAGCCTTTCAGTACTTAAAGGGGGCCTACAGGAAAGGTGGGGAAAATCTTTTTAGTAGGGACAGATGTGACAGGACAAGGGGTAATGGTTTTAAACTGAAGCAGGGTAGGTTTAGACTGGCTATAAGGAAGAAATTCTTTACAATGAAGGGTAATGAAACACTAGAATGGGTTGCCCAGAGAGGTAGTGGAGGCCCCATCCCTGGAAACATTCTTGGATGGGGCTCTGAGAAGCCTGATGTAGTTAGCGGTATAGTTAGCGGTGTCCCTGCTCCCTGCAGGGGGGTTGGACTAGACCTCTAGGGGTCCCTTCCAACCCAAAACTTTCTATGACTGTATGATCATAAGGTTAAGTCCAATAAAAGTTCAAGCATTTTGTAGATGCTTTTTGATAGCATCTACTTTATTTTTATTCTATTTTTGGTTTTTTTATATTTGGTTGTTTTTACTTTGTTATTGTTTGTATTTTTATTGTAATTCATTGATACATTAATTGCTAGCATCTATGTTAATTTAGCCTTCACTTTTGGAAGTTTTTCCCTGTAGTATATTGCACATTTGCGCTACAGCAGCTGAAGTTTACCTTCAGCATGAGGAGGAAATACTTTCATCTTAGAAAAAATGTTCTGCTGTTCTTTCTTTAAATACTGAACATTAGTTTGACTCTCACTTGGCACCAGAAAAATTATTTCCAGGAGAAATCAGCCAACACAGGAGAGACTGCCTTTTCACATCAAAGCTACTTTAAACTACAGTTTGGTAAGAGGAAGAGAGAACAGTTAACTCTGGTGGAGAGAAAGGAAAGTTAAATCAGCTTCACTGTTGGAAGAAATGGTAAATCCATGCCCTTGGATTTTACTTCATCAAGAGTTGAAGCCAGGACTGCAGCAGGCTGCCCTCCCCCAGCTGCATGGCCCTAAGCAGTCATCTCCCCTCCAACAGGGATGCCGTTGTCTTACACTGCAGGAGGTCAGAACAGGAAAGTCATCAGTACCTTGTATCACTGGGTCTAAGCAAACACCTGTATTGTCGGAAGGAACTAGGCAAGAATTGCCTGCCAGGTCAGATCAGATTAAACTGTCTGGAGACTCAGCTTTAGCCACCCTATACTGCAATCCAGCCACACTCCAGTAAATCCTTTTTCCACGCCACATGTTTTCCTAGGCATGTTATTGGGATAAATGGTGAAGGGATCAGGTGCACAAGTAGTGTCCTCCTCTATCATTCCTTTCACAGGGAATGATGAAGAAAAGAACAGGAAGAGCCAGGAGATAAATACCTGGCTCGGAGCCTGGTGCGAGGAGCAGAATTTTGGGGGTTTTGACCATGGGTTGGACACCAGGCCTGCTGGCAAATGATGAGGTACACCTGTGTCCAAGGGGCAAAAGGATGCTTGCCAAGAAGTCAGCAGGGATCATTGAAAGAGCTTTAAACTAGATTTGAAGTGGGAGGGGGATGAAACCAGGCTTGCTAGAAATAAGCCTGGGGATGGCACACCAATGTCTGAGGGACAGTGTGCTAGCGAGGTCCCCTGGTCTGCTGGTAATCCAAGTGGCAGCAAAGATGCAAAGGTTACTGATGGGTTAGTAACAACTGCAAGTAGTCACTTACAAATTCAGACTCCTCCC